TTGGCCACTTTAACACTTGTGGACTTCAACTCCCAGAGTTCCTCAGCCAGCCATGAATGATAGAGTTGGAAGAGACCAGAAGGGTCATCTAAGTCAGGGGTCTCCAACCTTGGCCAATTTAAGACTTGTGGACTTCAACTCCCAAAGTTCCTCAGCCAGCTGCTGGCTGAGGAATTCTGGGAGCTGAAATCCAAAGTTTTAAAGTGGCCAAGGTTGGAGACCTCCTGTTTTAGGCTACCATTTTGAAAGGCAATGAACTTCTAGGACAAGGGTCTTCAACATGGCAGCTTTAAGACTGGTGGACTTCAACTCCCAGAATTCCTCCTCCAGTTGTGTTAGCTCAGGAATTCTGGGAGTTGAAGTCCACAACTCTTAAACTTGCCAAGTTTGAAGGCCCTTGTACTAGGAAAACAAATCTACGTAGAAAGAAGAATATTGTCCTTCCTTAAATCAAAAGTGGCTGCTTGTCTGGATTTTAAGTCCCCGGCTTAAAGTTTTTAAACACCCAAGGCAACGACTGGAGTCTTTCTTGGATTTCCTTCGTCTTTCTACATCAGGATAGGGAAATCAAAATGCAATGTAGCTCTACATGTTCAGGCCCTTTCAACATGGGTATTTTGGGTTCTTCAACTCCTCTTCCAGTCATAAAACTTGAAATCAGTGTTAACAGATTTTCGCAGGTTAAAAGTGAAAGGAAAACCAATGCTATTTCTGGAACATAAAACAACAGCCAGAAGTCTCTGATTCTTCTTTTGCATGTGATGCAGCTACATCTCTTCTGCTTTTGTTTGCAGAGAGGAGGAGGGGAAAGGACTGTGAGATTCTGGGTGGTTTCTGAGCTTTTCTTGCAGATGTTTCATTACTTAGATAATATCATCAGTGCTAGCCTACTGATGAGTTTGGTAGTGAAATGAAACTTATTTGTGCAAGGAAAGAACCAAAGATGAGGGAGGGAGGAGGTAGGGAAGAAGAAGAAGAAGAAGAAGAAGAAGAAGAAGAAGAAGAAGAAGAAGAAGAAGAAGAAGAAGAAGAA